TCGACAATGTTTTAGTTGTACGTATGTGAGAGAACAAAACCCGACTTCCTTAGAGAATGTGTGCGTGTACAATACCGTTGTTGCCGCTATAGTGCTAGACGATATTGTGGTTGATTGGGATGTGTCGAAATAACTTCATATTGCGGCAATCACCTCACAAATCTCATACGCTTTCATCTAATAGATCCCATACATTTCATACATCTCATAAATCATGTAGATCCCATACATCGTGTACATCTCATACACGCCTACACCTCATACATTTTCCTACATTTACATACATCCCACACATCCCATACATTTCATGCATCTCATACGTCTTCGTATATATTCGTACTAATGAAAACCTGAAACCGTGTGTGTGCTCAGGCCGGATGGGGGGGGGGGGCGGGCCGTTGAGGGGAGTTAGCTGTGAACGGGTATCGAACAAGTCAGCCGTACGTGATCAGCGCCGAAATCAAGATCAGATGTATGGGATGTATGAGATGTATGAAATGCAAGGGACGGACAACACGCATGGGATGTATGACATCCATCGGTTGCAGGATATGTTTGAGAATGTACAGGTATCAGAATATATGAAATGTATACGATCTGCAGGCTGGGTAGAATGTGCGGATATGTATCGGATGGAAGAAATGTATGTAGTGTCTGGAAATATGAAAAAGCATTTGCGCTCTACGGAATGGCGCGGGGTGAATAAAAAAATGCGAAATGTGTCTGCGTGTAAGAAGTGCTGCAGTTTGTGAAAAACTGTAGAATCTGGGTTTGCTGCAACCACAAACTATCCATCAGGCCGCATTAGCGGTGGCGCTTTACCGTTTCTTTACAGGTAACGCAGTAACGCATGCGTTATTGCGTTACCAGTAACTACTCACGAGATGCGTTTATTTTTCATAGCTTTTGTAACGAGTAACGCAGCGTTATTTGCGTTACTTTAACGCTTTTTTGCGTTACTTTTCTAGTAATGCAATAACGCTTTCGTTATACGTTACCAGTAACGCATAATATAGTAACGCTTTAGTCGCATTTTGTCCGGAAGGTGATAAAACATTGTCGAATCTGACACACATTGTTAGTCTAGACTCGTCTAGTAGACGCTGCGAAAAGCGTCACACCAATTTGCAGTAGTTGTCCACTTCTTCTTTGCGTGTGTTAGACCATAGATTGGCAAAAGTAATTTTCGAGAGAATCTTGACGTATGCTGCGCATTCTCTCAACGAGAGCTCATTTCTTTCCGTGCTGACGGTCGGTCAACCACCGTGTGACATGTTTTCCGCTTTCATCCGAAAAGGTCAGTAACGTGTCATAACCTTAACTTCCAACAACAACGGCTACGTGTTCCCATCATTGATAATTGCATTGAAGAAACACATCGTCCATCATCAAATGATTCTCAACATCAATACAATATACGTTCATCTACCAGACCACCACAAGCCGTCACCACAGCTCCATTACCCATTCAACAGTTAAAAAACCCATCCGAACATTATCCACGAACAAAATTTCGTCATTATTAGTACTTCCAACACCGCCAATCCTCACCCTACCACCTACGTATGCCCCTCTTCTCGTGAGTTTTGATGCCGTTCACCTCAGCGATATCATTTATACCCTCGGTAACGTTCAGCTCACGCAATCAGAAATAGATCTTCTATGCAAAGACCTCAAATACGTTCCAATTAGTTACTTCCGCCCATCTCCGAATCTCACACAATGTGTCAAAAGAATGCTGCTGCTTCCTCCGTTGACTCACATCACCGATCAACAATTTTTAAACGCTTTATTCTATCATCAAAAGAACTTTATATCGAATCTCACCACGTCCGAATATCAAGCACTACAACATCTTCCCCATCGCACCGATATTGTCATTAAACCTGCAGATAAAAATGTCGGCATCGTCGTCGTCGACACCAAGGTTTACGAGAGTAAAGCCCTACAAGAACTTAATAACACTGAAATTTATCGTCGTCTCCATCGTCGTCTCCACCATAACCCGAACCGTCAAATATTTAATCTTGTTAAAACAAAAATTGACCAACTTACCAATGATAAAAAAATCACAATAACAATCCAAAAATCAATTACTCCTAAATATGCAAACTTAGGTACATTTTATAGTCTGCCAAAAATCCATAAACAATGCAGTCCTGATCGTCCAGTCATCTCTAACGTTCAGCATTTAATAAATCGATTATCCAAATATATTAGCAAAATTCTCCACCCATTTATCCCCTTACTGTCCGAAATCGCTAAGACCAAGTACAACACACCACATTATGTCATTTTAAAAGATACCAATCACCTTCTCCACGAAATCGAATTATTCAACGAATCCGCCCGTACCGATCTACACAGTTTGACCTTACTGACTGCCGATATTACATCGGTGTACACCAATATTCCTCAAGAGGACGGCATTCAAACATTATCCACTTTTATTCAACAATATTGTCACCTGATCAATTTCCCACTGGACCATCTCACACTGACTATTCTCCTACAACTCGTTCTTGAAAACAATTGTTTCACATTCAAAGGTTTCCATTATAAACAAATAAAGGGCACCTCATGTGCTCCAGAATACAGTAACATCTACGATTTCATAAGCGAGATACCCATCTTTCAAAAATTCGTCACCAACCTTATTCGTATTTTCCGCTTTCTTGACTTTACATTTTGTCTCTGGTATCAAACAGAAAATCAACAAACGCCACTCTCCATTCTCATTCATACATTTATCAATACTCTAAACAACCAAAACAAACATTTACAATATAAATTTGAACAAAACACAATGTCAATTAACTATCTCGACATCACTGTCAGTATCAACCACCGACTCAATCGCCTCGAAACAAATCTTTACACAAAGCCAACCAACACATTTCAATATCTTCACTATAATTCATCTCAACCACACCATCTCATCAAAAACATTCCTTTATCACTGGCAAATCGAATTACGCGCATTTGTTCTACACTTACAACTCGCTGGCAACAATATTTTGTCTTATTCTGCCGACTACTAGCACGTCAACACGAACCACTTAATTTAATCAAAAAAATCCTCCACTATCGCGATTCAGACCGTGTCGATCTTATCAAGAAAGCATACAACAATGCATTTTTAATCCTAGTCACCTCAACCAACCGAATACCAATTATTTATAAAAACATTATCCTGCCATTTAATGCACAAATACCACCGCTGATAAAATTATTTTTAACTGAATTTTCAATAAATCTACCCGAAAACTATCGTTTCGTTCATACACTACCAAAAAACCTACACAAATTACTTGTTCGTTCAAATTATCCGACATCTTTCATCACTACCCCACCTACTGTTCATCAATGTCCAACTGGTTTTCACAAATGCAATACATCTCGATGCTCCACTTGTCCGCATGTCCCTGAAACAAATACTTTTATTAGTACCAAGCACAAAAAACCATTCTACATTTATCACAAACTCAATTGTAAATCATCCAACTTGGCTTATCTAATCACATGTCGCCGTTGTTACTGCCAGTAAGTAGGCCATGAACTACACTGTCGCCTCAATCATTACATTTGGTCAATCCGTCATCAGATATACTCTGAACCACTTCCTGCTGTTCATTTCAATCTCCACGATCATTCTCTCAACGACTTTACCATTACCGCTATCGAATCCACTTACATCAAAGAACAACATCGACTGACCCGCGAACAATATTGGATATAACAAATAGAGCCCGTTTCAAACCGTTAATTGCAATTATTTCATCTTAGTCAATATTTAATTTACGCTTATTCCTAATTTTATTTTATTTAATTCTAATTTTTAATCGTATTAATTTTATTATTTTATTATCCTATTTTATATCTAATATTATTAATATTTATTAATCCCTTTAAGTTATTTACTTTTATCATACATCTCCAATTATTTTAACCATCTGCCTATGCAGCTATCAACATTATGTACTAGCTCATCCAATTCTCTTTTTATCGATAGAGAATTAATTCTCAAGGACAAATGTAACCAATGACCTCACCCGGTTCGACTAGAAAAACACTGCGTCTTCTTCTCCATTCATAATCTTCAATTTCGGTTTCACTCTTTATCCCTGCCAAAAACCGACGAAGGAGAAATAACTCCTTCTCTATTCTATTTTATTTTAATTTTATTTCGCTTCCTTCTGCATATATAAATACTGCTTCAAACTTAGTACCGCTCATACCCGAAGAAGGCCACTAGTCGAAACGCGTCGTTTCTTATCCCTTTTTTTATTAAATTTTCCCATTTTACTTGTCAGTCCTTCTTTCTTACTTTTATCATTGATATAACAATATCTTTAATAAAGCAACCAATTCAGTTCAACACAAACACGTTCAATTAGGTAAAAAACCGTTTCGCCAAAAGACAATTCGCCATGGCGAAATGTCGTGTGCCGTTTCGGCCATTGGCGAAGTGTCAATACCGTGTCGCCCAGAATTTGTACAGTTTCACCAACTGGCGAAACGGCACATGACATTTTGCCAGTAAATGGTTAGAACACGGTAAATTGTTATCAGTTCCCAAGTTAACTTAGGAATCTCACTGATTCTTGATCCCTCACTTGACTAAGTTATCGCTATTTAAATTATGATAATACATATGTAAAGAAAATGTCGCTTGACTATAGGGAAAACATTTTAAAGAGGAAAGAAGCGGAAAACTCATTCGACTATACCTTCTTTATCTCTATAAGTCACACTTATATGTATCTTTTCTTCTTGTCTATTTTCCGTGTTCTTCCTTATCTCTCTCTATCTCGCCTCTTAATTCTTTTCTTTTAATCTCAGCCCGTTTACATACGAAGACTGTTCAAGATAATCCTGAAACAGACGAACAGACCATGGAATATCGAATCTGTTTTTAGTTTGTACAGTTTATTTGAAAATATATATTTCGAGGGAGGCTTCCAGGAAATTGTCTTTTGGCGAATAGTGCTCTAGCGAAAAGTCAGAGATTTCCCAAACTTCTGCGTATACAAAAGATGGTAAAAAACCGTTTCGCCGAAAAAAAAAAATTCGCCATGGCGAAATGCCAGTGCCGTTTAGCCAATTAGCGAAATGGCACATGACACTTCGCCAATTGCCCAGACCTCCTGTGACACTTCGCCACAGCGAATTGTCTTTTGGCGAAAAGTCTATTGGCGAAACGAAAGAGATTCTTCAATTAAACATGCTCCCAGCTTTCGCTTGAGCCGTCCCCCACTGCCGACACATCCCAATCAACCACAATATCGTCTAGCACTATAGCGGCAACAACGGTATTGTACACGCACACATTCTCTAAGGAAGTCGGGTTTTGTTCTCTCACATACGTACAACTAAAACA